GGGGGCGGCGACCAATTCCTTCGCACATCGCCCCCTACCTTCTTCCCTCCTCTCCAACCACTAACGCAGCGCTTAAGTGTGCTTCAAGTAACACTACTGCTAATAATTAAAAGCAAGAAAGAACAAGAAAAGCCATCTGGGCTCTTTCCATCCGACCGGAGCGATCACTCTACCCCGCCCCCTTCCCTGCGAATCTGGAAACTGTGCAGAATAGGTCCCCACTGCTGCCCGCTCAAAAGCCTTTGCTGCTGGGGTTATCGCCCCTCCCAAACTCCCCAACACTCTTTAAAAACTCCCCGAAAACCCACACAAACTGCAAGAAGCTCCCCACTCCGCATCTAGTTCCATCAGCCTCCTTCCTCGCCTCCTCCTTCCCCGCCAGGACGGGTGTCTTCTCTTCTAGGGTTCTGCTCCTACCCCTAGCCCATCTCCAGGGTGCAGGGCAGTCCAAGAACGCAGTTTGGAGGAGGCAGGCAAACTTCACTTCCCACCCATACCTCCCACCCCGGATAGAACTTCAAGGCGCGGTGATCAGGGTTGGCAGCCCCCTCCCACCGAGTCTCTTTCAAGTCCCCTCCCATCCTCTGGCTGCCCCTCCCCTCCTTCCATTCTAACCCCCCTCCACTCTTTCCCCAGGAGAGCCAACCAAGAACTTTGTCAAACGCCAAGCCAAGTTACACTCCTCTCCACCGCCCCTCGCCTCCTGTGCCTGCGCTCTGCCAGGAGCTGGGCTGGGACAGTGCGGCCCGCGCCCCTCGCCGCCGCGGCGCCCACCCGGCCCGGCCCGCGCCCGGGCCCTACCTCCAGAGCTTGCCGAGCGTCTTGCTGAGCTCGGCGTTGTGCAGGTGCGGGTACTGGTCCGCCAGCTTCCTGCGCGCCGCCTGCGCCCACACCATGAAGGCGTTCATGGGCCGCTTGACGTGCGGCTTGTTCTTGCTGGAGCCATTGACGCGCACGGGCATGGGCACCAGTGTCCAGTCGTAGCCCTTGAGCACCTGGCTGACGGCCTCGCGGATGCACACGGGGAACTTGTCTTCCTCGCTCTCCTTTTTCAGGTCCGGCTCGCCCTTAGGGAACGTGTTCTCCTGGGGCCGCGTGTTCTCCGTGTCTGAGCCGGAGCCCGAAGGGCAGGGCGAGCCCGCCGAGTCCTCGGACATGGTGGGGCTGGGGGCGCCGGACAGGCCCTTCTCCTGCTCGTCGGTCATCTTCATAAAGGGGTCCAGGAGATTCATGCGCGGGCCCAGGGAAGGGGGCGGGTGGCCGGGAAAGGCGAGAAGCCGCGGCGGCTCGGGGACGCGAGGTGCGAGCTCCTCTCCACTTGGCTGCCCGGGCGCGGAGCAAGCGTTTCCCAGGGAAGCTGGCGCGTTCCCCGGCTGTGGCGATGAGCACTTAGGAGGACGAGGGGTGGCCAGCTCGCAATGCCGGCTCCAAATGGGAGAAGGCGACTTGGAGAAGAGGAGGAGGGAAAGAAAGAGCACAAGTGGGGTTTCTTGCACCCCTTTTCCTTCCTCCAGCTAAGAAAAGTTCCCGGAGTGAAAGTGGCAAGTCGCAACGCCGCTCAAGTTTCCAGCCAGTTTCAACCTCCGCTCTCCGCTCTCCAGCTCCCAGCTCCTGGTCTCTTTAATAAATACGCCCCACAAGTTAGAAACTTTCAGCCAATCGCAGCCCGTCTTTCCAGGGGTTGGCAGGCAGCTGATTGGACTCGGTTTTGGGGGAGGAGGATTGTGGCACTGGGCTGGATGACAAGAGAGGAGGGGACAAAAGGGGAGGGGAGCGCAGTCGAGGGGTGGATGGCGGGGTGTTGAGGGTGGGTGCTGCGGGAAAGGCGGGGGACCCGAGAGGGCCAAGTGTGTACGCTCGCCGCACTCTCGTGTGTCAGGATTTGGGTGCCGTCTCCGCGCAAGTCTGCGCGCGCGCGCGTGTGTCTAAATTGGGGTCTGCCCCCACCCCCACCACGGCACGTCTTGTCTTTGGCACCGGGGACTTAGCTGGAGTTTGCAGCATTGGAGAAGCAGTCGCCCTCGACTTCGTAGCCGGGTTTACACTCCCAGAGTCTGCCTTCTCCGAAAGTGCTTAGAAATGGGCTTTCGGAGCATATGTTTCGGTGACTCAACGCCCGCTGTTCCTCAGTAATAATCCACATAAATAGATTAACATGCTCGGGTTCGCCGGGGCTGGCGCGGCTGCTCCGGCTTCGGCTACGCTCTTGCAAAGGGATTCAATGAAAAGTAAAGTCCCCGCGAAAGCTGGCGGCTGCGGCAGGCGCGACGCCAGAGCCCCGCGCTCGCGGGGGTCGCCCCGCGCCACACCGACCTTGAACTCTGACAAGTTCTTCTCCAGCCCCAGCCCCCCTAGACCCCCCACTCTACCGGTGCTCCCCCGTGACAGCGCAACTGCTTTGGCGTTCTTCTGACCTTCGCCTCCTGGCCGAGTCCAAAACGTCAGCAGAGTTGCCGCTGGAAAGAGTTTACCAACTCCTCCGGTTTTCCGAGATCGAACTTGGCCGAATGGGCCGGCCCAGGCCGCCAGGCCCAGGCGGGTCACTTAGTTGGTAAAAGGCCGGACAAATGGGCACCGCTGTAGACAAAACACCCTGCTCTGGCGGAGCTGGGCCACTCGCCTGCTTCCCCTCTCCCCTACCAAACACCTGGAGGGGCGAAGCGTGTGTCGGAGGGACTTTTCTCCAGTCCTTTCTGACCCGAAGACAGTTGGGAGTCCTGGGGGAGGGGAGAGGGTGCCTCTGATGTATTTCAAAGTGCGATTTGAGCGCTACCTTTGTGTTTACACGAACTCCTCCGAGACAGGTTTGCTAAGTGAAAAATTATCTGTTTTGGCAGAGAAGAAAAACCTTAGTCGTCTGCGAGTTTTGTGTCTTCAGAATCACAATAAACGCACGACTCTGGAAAAGGCTTTATTTTAAACTCCCTCTTCCCGGCTCTCGGAAACGTTCGCCTCGAATTAAATGATTGAATCGGGCCCTCGTCGTATAAAAGACTTGTCTCATTCTGATTTGCAAATTGCGGACACGATTATAAGATTTAAAGGAACGTTGTTTTTATTCCTTGAAGATTTTTTTTTTTAAAAAAATCTTTTTTTCTCTCGTTTTCTTCCGAAGAAGCTGGCATTTATTGTAGAGAACAGAACTCTTCAGAAGGTAGTAAGTTACAACCTGGTTAAACGATATTTACTTTTTAAACGAATGAAAAGCACCTCGGATGTCTGGTATTCTGTAGCCAGTAGCCTTATATTCACGGCTGTGTGATTACTCTCAGAGAGTTGAGAACGACATAGTCCTTTCTCGAGAGGAAAAGTCCCGGTAGGCATGGACAGATTTCTCTGTCTTGGGGAGGGGTATTTGTGAAAACAACTGCGATTCTTAGACACCTGATGCAGGAGACTTAGAGATGGTCGATCGGAGCTTTGGACCAGAGCGCCTCGATTTACTTGTATTTTACTGTAATTCACATGCTGACTGGCAGGAAGGCGGTGAGGACCACTATGACCTTAAGATATTTCGGATATTTCACTACATGTTTGTCAAGATATATCCGTACACATATAAACGCATTTTGATGCAATTATAACAAATACGTAAATTGTAGGCTTTTACGTCATAAACTACGGTGCTTTATACATTTTCCGTTCGTTTGGCACAAGTATTTCGTGTTCACGAATCTTTTTGAAAACTTATAAAATGGACTGCAATTTTCAGCTGCTTCCAGAGGGGGCGCCAAAAGCTCAGAAACTGTCTCCAAGTCCGCGGAGCTGCGGGAGACTTTGATGATGGTGGTGGTGGGGAGTGGTGTGTTCCACTCCGGCAGTACTGCTTGCTGCTGGGATTTATCTCTGCAGGAATTCTTACGCGGTATTCCCTCCCGCGCGGGTCCACCTCTGGGCTGTCCAGGTAGGGGAGCGTGGGAGCTGGACACACGCACGCACAGCGAAGCACGCGAGATGCCCATGTGTCCATTTTGCACAGAACAGGGAGATCCAGGCCACGCTAAGGACCGCCCCACCCCCACCCCCCAGTGCTTAGCTTTGCCCTCTGGCCGCCGTGAGAGGACCTTGGAGCGTGGGCACAGTCGGCTTGCGAGTGGGGCCCTGTTGCCTTTCAGAAAGCAGATGCCTCCCGCTGCCGAATACCCCACCCCCGCTCAGGGGCTTGATTCTCTTCGAAGTGACTTTCCAGGGTCGCCCCTGGCCTCTCTTCCCCGCCCAGGGAAGATGCTTGCAATTCCCGACCAGAGGACCTCGGAGCTAGAGGGACCCACTCCCAGTGTTCGTGTTACAGATTAGGAGACTGAGGCTGTTGGCCCAGTTTTAGCCTGAGCAGTCTGCCAGGAGCTCAACGTGCTGAAAGTCAAGCGCTCCTCAGTTTGGTGGGGGCGAGGAGAAGGGCGCAGCTCTAGGGGCCGGCCAGGGACGCTGCTTTACTGTGTGCGCGGAGGGCAATCGGTGCCGGTTCCTGAGCCAGCGCCGCGAGGTCTGCCGCCGATAGCGGAGACTCCGAGGTGCGAGCGGGTCCCAAGGGAGACCTCGGAAAACTGAGGTCGGAGAGCCCCCCCTTCTCCTTTTCTCCGAGTCCCCGGGCCGGCGCCGAGCTCAATTTCCCGGCGAGGGCCGCCAATTTCCCCTCCGCGTCTATGCGGGCGCGCAAGCAAGAGCCGGGTATCGCTGGCGCAGGTAGCGTTTCGCCTGCTGTGCGGGGCGGCGCAAACACGCAGCGCAGGGGAGTTTTCCGACTGTGAGCGGGTGCGTGCGAATGGAGTTCCCTTTACCTGGAGAATTAAGGACCCGGACAGCCTTCTCCAAAATTCCTTAGCAAAAGTAGGACCAGTGTCTAATCCGTTTTCAGCAGGGAACGCATGTCCTGGGCAGAGTAGGTTGTGTGAGGAGCCTGTCTCCCGGTGTTCTCAGTCCTGGGTAAGGTTTTCTACGGAGGTGATCAGGGAAGGGGATTCCCACCCCCCACCCTCCACCCCCGCCCGGGCCCCTGTCAGCTCTTGGGCCAAGTCCGCTGGAGGTAAAAGACCCCTGTCCTGGGAGGAACACCCTAGGTCCCCGCGACCGAGGCGTCAAACTACTTCTCCATAGTTTTCCTGGGCGCGGAGCGCGCTAGTTTCTGTCTTCACACCAGATACTAGTTCTCTTTGGCAGCGAGCGGCAGGTAATCCCGAGTCTCAGGGCAAGTTTGGGGCTGGAAAGCCACAGCAAAGGGACAAAGGAAAGTACCAGATAGCGTCCTAGGTGCGCGATAAATATCTGTTGTCGGGCAGAGGAAATGTGACCTTTGGGCATTTTGCCCCAGTGTGGATTCCCTGGCGCAGGCCTCCAGACCTCCCAGCAACGCATCCCATGCCGCCTGTGAATGTATATTTCTACGTGTGTATTTCTCCCCAAACGGGCGCTCCGCTTTGGGGAGGTTGTCTGGCACGTGCAACCCGGGACCCCATAATCCCGGCGCCCCCTACAACTGCAGGCCAAGGGGGAGACCCAGTTTTCTGCCCTTTTTTGTTTAGGAAGAGAGATGGGTGAGATGGGAGGGAGCTGTTGGCAGGGGGCGTTAACCGTCAATCTGCTCCCGGTGACCTGGCTGGGTCGTGGGGCATCTGGTGGCTGTCTGCCCTGGGGCAGGGGCCATTGGTGGCAAATCAAGAGAGCCTGGACTAGCGGCTGGCCAGGGGAGGGGCAAAGAGGAGGGCTGGGGATGGGAGGCCCCAGAACCAAAGGGGCTGAGTTCTCAAGAGGAGTGCACTTAAAAAAAACACCGTTTCCCCTTGACTATCTGTCCTTGGTCTGGGGCTGGGAGCCATGAGCCATTCAGATTTTCTCAACGCAACTCTAGAACAGCTGCGGGAAGTTTCTAGACCAAGTTAATATCCACCCCTCCCCCGCAGACACGCATGTTTTCCTTTCTAAAATCTTACAGGCGTTTTTCAGCTGAAGTTATCTTGCCTTGCAGAATGAAAAGACAAAAAGGACATAAGCGCTCATCCCACGGTGTCCCCTTCGCCGCCGGCTTGCCCCGGCCATGGGGCTGACTTCCTTCGCCAGAATTTCCTCTGTGCATTGCCAACTCGCAGTGAACGCCTCTCCCCATCTTTTGGTTTATGGGTGTCCAGCCAAAGAAGGGAACAGATACCTGGGGTTCTCTGCCAATTTTGTACAATTGCCCAAGAGATGGGTGGGGTCTACCGCATTGACTTTATATGGAGGAGCTTTTAATCCAAGA